GTTCCCGCCTCAGCCGTCTTCCGGGTCACTTGCATCTTCCAGACCTCTTCTCTGGTCCTCCCCGTCTGGCACATCCTGAGCTGCCTGCTGGCTGGCCATGTCCCCCACACTCCTTGGGTCTTGCTGATTACCCACACTCTGGGCAGCCTTCCTCCACCGGTCCTTGGCCCCCCAACCCAAGGGGCTCCTTCCCAGGGGGCTGCGCAGGTGCCAGAGTCCAGTAGGAGGACTTCTCTGTACACGCAGGGCTGTGTTCTCCCCAACGCCTGGTGGCCACCAACTTCTCCTACACACAGCTTCCCCTTTTCCTTTGGCGGATTTTCTCCCCCCTGCAGCCCAGGCGGGCTGCTTCCTTCCGGAGCTCTTACCACTGCGGCCACTTCCGCCTTGACTCCCAGCTTGAAGCCAGCAAGCGCCCCTCCTACCCTCCCCCCACCGGGCTGCAGCACGTGTCTAAAGGGAATGAGATATCAAGCACACTTGAATCACAGAATTTGCACAAAATCTCCAGTCCATCCTGCCTTATCTGCCTCCTCCTCCCGCCCACCCAGCCGCACACGCACCCCTTGGGGACGCCCCTGCCCACTCCTTCCCTCTAGATAAGCGTGCCCTCGGGAGTCCTCAGGTGGGAACAGGTGGTTGGCGGGCTGGGACCACTCCACCACCGGTACCCCCTCGCCTTTCATCCCAGAGGGAAGGGAGCAGGAAGTTACTGCAGGAGACAGCTGCCCTCGGGAACCCCGCTTCACCGGGGCATCGCACCCCACACCCAACCCTCACTCAAAAGCATGACCCTCAGACTCTCTGAGCCAGATCCTTCTGGAGAAAAGTGTTGGGGTCTATGGGTCCCTCAATCGCGGCATTTCCCCAAGGCTCTTGGGGACCAGCATGGGTGGATCTCTCAGAGACCAACCTCACAGCCCAGCACTGAGCAAACCTCTTCTAGGGTCCCGCCGGTAACTCTTCCCCTCCCGCCCCAGCAATGCCTGGACTCCATCCAGCAGCAGTGATCGCTTCTCCCAGCTGGGGCAGAGGGGGCCTCAGGAAACCGGAAGCCAGAGCGAGGGGGCTGCTTCTGGAGCAGAGGCCCCGTTGGGGTGGGACGGGTTTCTGTGGTCCCCACCGCAGCAGGCAGAAAGCTCAGGGAACCCGAGAGATCACAGCAAGTCCCACAGTAGGGGACTCTGAAAGGAAGCTGCCTTCCTGCCACTCACACCCCTCCTGACTCCAGGGGCGCCCCTGAACTGCCCCTGAACCGACAGGGTCCCCGCTCTGCTGCTGGCCCATTCCCCTACGTGGGCCGAGCAAGTGCTGGGCAGAGGCACCCCAGTGTCTGGGCTACCGACAGGGTGGCCGCGGCGCTGAGCAGGAGGGATGCCCCGTGGGCAGGATGGAAGGGGGGAGGGGGGGGGGGGGGGTCAACCGCTGGAGGAAGGGGAGCCCAGCACCCGGGGCAGCCTGTGGAGGGGGAGGGCGATGACCTCCCAGCACCGGCACCACAGGAAGCTGGGAAATGTCCCTGGAAGAGTCAGCACTGGGAGGAGCTGGTCCTGGGCCGCTTCCCCCTTATGGGGCAGGGGCGGGGGGGAGTTGGGGGAGTGATGGGCTGCACAGGCGCCCGTTGCGGACCCAGCAGAACCTGGGGCCCCTGGGGCCCCTGGCGCTGGCCCCGGTGCCCACCACCCCCGAGCCCGGAATGCAGCTGCCTCGGGCCACTGTCCTGTTGGGGTCTGTTATCAAAGGAACGAGACTGAGACAAAGGGAAAGTTATGCAAAGCCTTATTCTATGCCAAGCAGTAGAAGACCGGCCAGGGCCCCTCCCGATCTCACAGGCTGGTTTTATAGGGCAGAACCGCAGACCCAAGGTGCGTGGCTTCTGTTGTTAAGGCGTTTACTCCCGGAATCGATACCCGGAACCATACCGGGAACTACGGGGGCTTTTATTCCCGGAATGAAGTCCGTGGCTGTAAACAACAATATGGCGACCTGGGCAATATGGAGTGGCTCCGGCTAAGCAGGCCCTAAGAGTTAGACAGCTTTTAACATTAAAACGGCCCTAACAGACGCATCTCCTCCGTGATGGGGTGGCTCACTCCAGAGCTCTCTGGGTTATCTTTGGGATCTTAATGGCCTGAGTGTCTGCCCGGGGCTGGGCACCCGCACGGCAGTGTCTGCACTGACCGCCACCGCCTGCCCTGCGCCGGCCCCTGCCAGCCGGCGGATGGAGGCAGAGTCCCTGGGTGCGGCAAGTTTCCGCCACCTCAGGGCGCCCAGACGGAAGTGCCCTCCCTGGTCCTCAGTCTGGGTCACAGCTTGCCTTCAGAGATGTGTGTCCTCCCTGGCTGTGGACCCCCAGGGCAGCCCCACCCGCCTCAGAGTAACACAGGGTGGGCTCGAGGTGGACAGAGTGTCGCCCCAGAGCTCCTGGCCCTCAGAACGTCCTGGTGGCCCCCTTTGCTCTTTGAAAGGGAACCAGGGAGGGGACAGGGCGGAGGGCCAGCACCTCCCACCTTCCCTCCAGCTCCTCTCCCCAGCAGGCTCACTCCTGTCCTGTCAGGCTGACCTCTGTCAAGAGTCAGGAGTCCGGGCGTCCGGGCAATAGGCGCTGGGCTTGGCAAGTCCCTCACTCCACTTACTGCTGGAAAACTGGAAACGGGGCCGGGGAACTGCAGCAGACTCCCCCCCCCGCCCCACCGCACCCCCACACCCAGCCCGAGGTGTCGCAGCCCCAGGCAATGGCCTCAAGGCAGGCGGGAACCGTGGGCCACCCTCCGTGGTCACCGTGGCCCACGTGGCCTAGGTGCTGCCCCTCCTGCCCGCCGATGGCTCCTGCCTGGCGCCCCTGCCTGAGACCCGGTCCCCCAGAGGCGGCTGTGTGCAGGGACCAGGCAGGGACCAGGCAGGACAGCCTTCTGGTACCCGCAACCCCGGGTGCAGCACAGGCTTGCGGCCCCCAACCCGAGATCGCGCACAACACATACAAGCGTGTACAGACCCAACACGTGCATAAGCACACACGTGGGGCACCTGGGGGGCTCAGCTGGCTGAGCGACTGCCTGCGGCTCAGGCCGGGATCCTGGAGTCCTGGGATCGACTCCTGCGTTAGGCTCCCTGCTCCCTCGGGCTCTGCTGCTCCCTCTGACCTTCCCTCTCATGCTCACGCACTCTCATTCTCTCAAATAAAATCTTTTTAAAGACACACACGTGTGCATGCACAAACAGCACATGCAACAGACACGTGTGAACACGAACGCATGTGAACACCGGCATGCGTGTGCGCACTACACACACGCACACGCTCCCAGCCCTCCTCGGGCTCTCAGAGCCTCCCCACCATCAAGGACACGCTTTTCACACCAGCCAGTGGCGCCGGCAGCTGGACTGGAGCCAGGGTCTGCACACCAAGCGGAGTGGGAGGTCCCTGCCTCAGAGCCCTCAGCCCGCCCCCGAAGCCCCGGGCGTGGGGAGTGGAGCCGCCTCGGGGCCTCGGACGCCCTGCCCCTGGGACGGCGTATGGGTCCACGCGCCCACCCACCGAGTGAACGAATGTGCTGAGCCTCCAGGGTGTCTCGACCACCGGGAGGGGCCCCGGCGAGGGCTCCAGGGTGTCACGGGGTAGCAGCGGGGCGGGAAGTGGTGCTGGAGGAGGCAGAGAAGGAAGCCTGTGCGGCTCGCGCCGTCCTGCACGGGTCGTGATTCACCACAGCTCGCACGACAGGATCACTGAGGAGCTGCTGACTCACCTGCAGGCTCAAACTTGAGTCCAGACTTTCCCGTGACAGCTTTACCGACGAAACTCACATGCCATACAAGTCCCCCATTTAAAGGGGAGAACTCCGTGGGCTTCAGCCTATCCAGAGCCAAGAAACCAGCAGGACCACTGACAGTAGCACATTTTGTCGCCTCGAAAGAAACCGCATACCCGGGGCGCCTGGGTGGCTCAGGGGGTTAAGCCGCTGCCTTCGGCTCAGGTCATGGTCTCAGGGTCCTGGGATCGAGTCCCGCATCAGGCTCTCTGCTCGGCGGGGAGCCTGCT